CATATCGTTCTTTCTAGAGAACGAGCTGCGATTGAACGTTCAATCAAACACGTGACTTTACTACAAAAGTTACATGGTGTTCGTCCACCTCTGCTCAGTGCTGGCGGCCTTTCCCAATCGTCATCTTAAAAACGACTTTATGTGCCTCCACGTGTTATGAAGAGCTTCTTAAAATGTTCACCGTTTTCATTGTTTTACTGGTATTGTTTATTGTAGCTATAGTTGCTTCATCACTTTGTAAACTCTTTTCCAATGAATTTACGTTTTTCGTTGCACTTGCTGAAAATTGAGTAAGTGCAGCTAAAATTATAATGCCAATACCCAAAAGTTTTTTCCTCTACGCTTCATATTATTTACAGCGCACGATCTCTAGTGTTTGCGTATCGCAGACGAGTGGATTCTCTCTGAGGGTCATTGTGTTTGACTAAGCAACGAATTTGTCAACGAGCTCTGCTTCTTTACTTCGTAACTTTTTGTTTTAAGTTCTTATTTCTTTCATTGCTTAACAATCAATCTTCTTGTAACTGTTTTCAAAAAGCTATTCTGTGTTTGGATTTTATGAGATTAAAAATTAGATTATGCCACTGTCATTGTTTCCCCTATCCTGTTATTTACTTTGTAAAGTTTGCATTGTTGTTGCCGTGCACATTCATTCCATTTTGTAATTAATTCGTTAATGCAGTTCTGATGTTGTTGTGCCCTATTTGCACGTTGGTCCGTTTGCTGTCCTTTTTTAAAGCATTGAGTGTGGCGATTCAAGTTAACTTCGGGTTGAGCGTACCAGTGCTGCTCAGTTTACTTTACAAATCATACTATAGGCTTGCTTCTTCTTCTATAGTGCATGTACAGTATCTACATGAATTTGTATAATATGTGTGTATGCTTATCTAAAGATAAATCTTTTAAAATCAGCTAGATTTCTCGATTATATGACCCGTGATGTACTGACCCATGATAAGTACAAAATTGTAATTGAATTGAATCATTTCTCCCTAGCTACGTGATATTCACCTGATCAGCTATTATCAAAGTGTTGTTCTAAGTGTAGGGCGGGGGCAGTTGAGTGGTCTCACTCACTTCTTCCGTAGATCTCGAATCTTGTGAGATTTTTGACAAGAGCCTGGAGTTTCGCATGTATTGCTCCATTTCCATTTCTTTTGTTTGGAAGTCTTTAACTATTCGCTAGTTCCATGCAACTCTCAGTTTATTGCAATTTATATCATTAGACGATTGTTCTGCAGCGTACATCCATCCAGAAATATAATCTTTTATATCAGATAACTCTGTATGAAATGTGACAATGTTAATTTGGCAATTTTTCCTAGCATAAATAATGCAGTGGACAGGCTACAGCGGATTTTACGCTTTGAACTGCAATAAATTTTTCTCGCACCGGTTTGTGGCACACATTTGATACGTTTTCGCCCAGTTACTAATGCAAGATTGACATGTGTGGCTGAGGAAGTACTACAATGTGTACTGTTTGCAAAAACATTTTCTTTGAGCAGAAAAGCTTAGAATTTTGGTTCAAACTAAAAATTGATGAAGTGGCAGTCTGTGACGAGCTACTTTTGATGCTTGACATTTTGTGAAATCTTTTCCTGAAAGCAAATGACAGTGTAAAGAGAGACAAATGCAACTTTCACATGTTCACATGCGTTGCTTCGTAGGAATGTAGCCTTTCAAGCTTTCAACAACAATGAGCTGTGAGTATAAAGCTTTGTATGCGCTACTACATATTCGACGTCAAAGTGAGTTCTTATTATTGCGCGTAAAATCCGCTGTGGTCACATTTCAACTACACTTACTGTAACTATTGTAAACCCTAAGCCTGAAACCTTATATAATACTCTCTGCAATATTTTGGAGTGAAAGAACTGATCATGTACTTGAGTGCTCCATCATCGAATCACATAACCACCTTCTGCATTTTCCACCTCAATTTTGGCATCAAATATTTTAGCAAAATTATCGTAAACAAGTGAAATTATGCATCCAGACGATCCAGTGGAGAAATTTTTGGTTTGGAGCCGAAAGAATGGAGTCATTTTCGATGGCCTCGAGATACGATCGAGCGAGGTGGGTTTTAAACAGCCAGCTGTTTTAATAAAGAATAAGGCTGTGCCTACAGGTATAATAAAAAAGGAAGGAAGTAACTGGTTGAACAAATTTTGTGAGCGTTTTTGGTGGGGGTTCTCTGTAATTGCGAAAATTACCTTAATTTTTATTGAATCTGAATATAGCTGAATGAAATTTCTTGGGTAGATTTTCATGTACAATGGTGTAAATACACATCACACAGAAAACTAAGAAATGGAATTGGTCAGAAGCCCATGAGCGTCCACCTCGCACGTCTTCTCAGTGCACCCGCACATGCGCACATGTCCTCAGTTTCTAGAAATGTTGTATGGTACGCAGTCACACTAATGCAGTCGCTAACATATGGCAAACAAACACTTTCAAGCAAAGGAAAAAAAATGATTTTCAGCTATCTGGAGGCTTGCCAAAACCAGCAGCATAATCAAGAGTGTTTTAGACTTCTGGCAATGGAATATTTGCAACCAGATCGTTTCGTACAGAGGAGAAATTTATTCAGCTTCCGGAAGGTTTGATGATTACTGCTGGGAAAATAGCTGACATGGAGAAATATGCAGATCTTCTTCGAGAGACGGGGTAAAGTACTGAGCTTTCTTCCTTTCAAAAAAAAACAAATTATGTCAATTTAAAGTTTTAGGTTCCTACCAACTCCATTCGAGATGCTTACATTATTTTTCTGCTTAGAAGATGCTGAATCGTCGTTTTATGCCCCATACTTGAAAGTTCTACCCAAGGTTAGCTTGATTTTAGCATATATCTGGGATGCTTCGAAACAACTAATTTTTGAAGAAGCATAGCTTATTTTTCGCTGCTAATTCTTCAAAAATTGGCATTATTTTCAGAGAAGTCAGGTTTTTGCTTTAGAAGTTTTGGATTCCCCTCTTTCCATCACCTCCGTTCCTAAGCTAAAGAATTATGTTGGAAATATGATTGCGTTGTGCAAATATTAAAACACGAGAGTGAGATGTTTTCTGTCTAGCGCAAGCTAGAATCATTACAATCATGCGCCTATGACAACTCGATTTGTTTTGGAGTAATGGGTTCCCACTTGCATAAAACCTTCTTATGTATTATTCTTCTTATAATAAAAGCCGTTCATGCTGAAAAGCGGGTCTGTTATTTTTAGCAACAATGAATTAAGATACCTGCTGCCGTGTGAC